TGGACTTCTTCCTTCGATACCATTAATTCTTGATCATATGCTACTTCCTGAAATGGCCATTGACCAGTTCTCTTTGGTACAGTGACTATGTGTATTTCTACCATGTTCTTTTGATGCTTCCTACATTGTTCAATATTTTTCCAATACAATCCTTAAATATCACAACTCAAGGACTGAATTTTATTTTCAGTGCTTTCCACTTGAGAAACATCGAGTGTGTTGTTCCCTTTGGATTTTCTATTTCCTGGTCTTTGTAATTTTATTATAATACTATATTTTGTCTTCTTGAGCCTCTCATTGAAATCCTCTATTCAGTTCTTTTATTTCACTATTTCTTCCATCCACTTTAGCTACTCCACATTCAAGAGCAAGCTTCAGAGTCTCTTCTGACATATTGGTCTTTTCTTCCTTTCCTGTCATTTTAATGACTGCTTTTTTCATGTATGATGTTCTTGATGTTGTCTAACAACTTGTCTATTCATCAGCCATTGGTGTTCAATGAACAAATCTGTTTTTCAGATGATATCTAAATTCAGGTGGATATAATCAAGGTTGTAGTTTGGCTGTCATGGACTTATTTCAATTTCCTTTAGCTTCAACTTGAACTTGCATATGAGCAACTGATAGTCTGATCAACAGTCAGCTCCTGGTCTTATTTTGACTGATGATAATGAGCTTCTCCATAACCTCTTTCCACAGATGTAGTCTATCTGATTTCTCTGTATGTCATCTGAGGAGCTCCATAAGTATAGCTTCCATTTATGTAGTTGAAAAAATATATTTGCATTGAATAAAGTGTTGGTCTTCAAAATGCTATCATGCAATCTCTGGCCATATTTTCCAGCTATTAATGATTCTTCTTTGTTTCCAACTTTTCAAATTCCAAAGACCAATAATTAACAATATATGTTGATTATATGTTTGATAAATTTAAAACTGCAGAATTTGGTTAAAACTCTTCAATTTCTTCATCTTTGACTTTATCATTTTGTGTGCAAATTTGAGTAATATTAGTATTAATTGGTCTTCCTTGTATGTGTACAGATATTATCCTATCACTGACAGCATTGTGCTTCAGGACAAATTTTGAGATGTTCTTTTTGACAATGAATGCAACACTATTCCTCTTCAATTTGTCATTCCAGGCATAGAAGATCATATGATTGTCTGATTCAAAATGGCCAATATCAGTCAATTTCAGCTCACTAATTCCTGTAATATAGATCTTTATCCATTCCATTTCATTTTGGCTACTTCCAATTTTCCTAGATTCATACTTTGTACATTCCATGTTCTGATTATTAATGAATATTTGCAGCCATTTCTTTCTATTTTGAATTATGTCCCATTAGCATATGGAGGTCATAAAAGCTTTACTCTATCCATGTTATTAAAGTTGACTCTGATTTGAAGAGGCAGCTCTTCCCCAGTCCTATTTTGAGTGCCTTCGAACCTGAGGGGCTCATCTTCAAGGACTATATCAGACAATCTTTCTTCCCAGTCTGTCTTTGTCTGGAAGGTCCAATGAAAACTATTCACCATGGGTGACACAGCTGGTATTTTAAATACTAGTGACATAGCTTGGAGCATCACAGCAACATGCAAACCTGCACAGTACAACAAACTGACAGACAAGTGTTGGAGAGAACCAAGACAGGAGGCAAATCACTACAGAGAAGTTACATATATATTAACTTGGTTGAAGGGAAAGGCAATATACAATAAGGGGAGGTTAGCACAAAATTATCAAGGCAGTAGAAGACACAGGGAGGAGCACATGCATTAAAGTCCACAAAGGTGAATACTATTACACATACAATCCTGCAATAACAGTAATGACAATAATATATGAGTGGACACATGAATAGACACTCAAGTTGAGCATGGATGGTAGGGTGAATGGGATTACACCCACAAATATATATGGGTTTGACAAAAGATATGTCTCCCTATATATTTATATGTATTGCAAGTATAATCATGAATGTAGTACACCACACAGGGCGTGAAGTTATGAAAACTTCTTAGTCATAACCAAACACTGTAGGGAATGAGTTGATGGACGTGGGGGCTGAAGACCACAGTTGTGAAAGACATTAAGGTCAATTGGCGTAACATAGTCCACAAAGGCAATATTCTACATCCTATTTTGCTGAGTAGCGACTGGGGTCTTATAAGCTTGTGAACAGCCACCTAAGGTGCATTATTGGTCTCTCTCCTTTCAAAGCATAGAAGAAGGACGAAAATAAAAGATGCAAGGAAATAATTTGTCCAAAGGAGTAATGGACCTCATGAACCCAAGCCTCCCAAACATAAAAACAGAAAATGTAGATGGTGTTAGATACCATTGCTGACTGCTGTGAACAGAATTACAACAGGAGGTCTCAGATAGAGTGGGAAAAAATGTGGAACAAAACTTAAAATGATTTAAAAAAAAAAGACCAGGCTTACTTGTCAGATGAAGACTGATAACATCCCTGAAATCAAGACCCTTAGATAGTCTTCAAGCCAAGAATTGAACTTAACCCCCATGGCTCAACTTTCAGCCAATTGATAGGCCTATAAGGTAAACAGTAATACTAGGAGGATATGCACTCATTAGAAAATCAACTATATGAGATCAGGAGGGCAGATTTTGCCTCAGGATAGAGCAAGGGTGGCAGAAGGGGATGGGAAGCTATTGGAAGAAAGGATGAAGGGAAGGAGTAGGCATGGGGATGAAGTTGGAAGAATGATGCTGCATTATAAGTATCGCACTGAATGTCACAAAACAGAATATTGTTGAACAGAAAATCAATTTGCTCTGTAAACTTTCACCTAAATCACAACATAAAATTTAGAAAAGGAAAAAGTTTTTTTTTTTTTTTTTTTTTAAATGTAAGATTTGAAATAAGCTATATTTATGTCAGGCCAGGAGATTTTAGAGAAAGGAATCTTACCAGGGATAATAAGGGTCACTTCAACTCTGAGAGCTTGTTTTTATTTTTAACTCTTTATTGTGATTTGGGTGAAGGTTTACAGAGCAAATCAAATTTCCATTCAATAATTCATACATATTTTGTTTCATACCATTGGTTAAAATCCCTACAATGTAACATCATTCATCCCAATTCTTCCCTGTGTTTCTCCTTTGAATTCTTCTTTTTCATCCCTTCCTGCCTTCTGAAATTTGTCCTTGGGCAATGCTGCCCTTTTGATCTTGACTGATTTGTGTGAGGAGTATGTACCTCTATGTTGTTGTTGTTGTTGTTATGTGCCATCGAGTCAGACCCGACTCATAGCGACCCCTCCTTGGGTTTCCGAGGCAGCATCATTACGGAAGTAGATTGCCCCATCTTCCTTCCGAGGAGTGGCTGGTGGGTTTGAACCACCAGGCTTCTGGTTAGCAATCAAGTGCCTTAGGCACTATGCTACCAGAGCTCCTATGATGTTAGTGTTCACCTTATAGACCTGTTTGGCTGAAAGTTGAGCCACAAGGGTGACTTCAGTTCCAGACTTGAAGTATGACTAAGGGCCATAGTTTCAAGGATCCAACCAGTCTCCATCTGACCTAATCTTGTTTATGATTTTTGAATTTTCTTCTACATTTTTCTCCCATTCTATCCAGGATCTTCTAATGTGATCCCTTTCAGAGAGCTGGCTTCTGGTCTTAGAGTCATAGATGCTGAGGTTCACATGATCCACTTAGCCTTTGGACCAATTTTTTCCAAAGTGTCTTTCATTTTCTTCACTCTTCTTTGCTCTATGTGGGGAGAGATCAAGAATTCATCTGAGATGGTTGTTCAGAAGCTTTTAAAACCCTAGTCACTACTCACCAAAGTAGGATGTAGAATGCTGTCTTTGTGGACTATATTGTATCAATTAACCTTGATGTCAGCCTCCCTCTGGGACTACGGTCCTGAGCCCCCAGGCCCAGAGACTTACTTCCTCAAGTCTTTTGGTTGTGGTTAAGTAGTTTTCATAACTTTATCCCCTGTAGGCTGTACTATATACTTGGATATATTTGCAACCCATGTAAACACATATGTAGAAATGATCTCCATCATACCTATGCATATTTTTGTTATGGTCTCACTAGCCTTCCCACACCTGTTCAGCTTGTATGTCTATGTATCCACTCACAGATTATTAATCTTACTGTTATTGCAGAATTGTATATGTAATAGTATTTACCTCTGTTGCCTTTAACTCTTGTGCTCCTCCTAGTGCCTTCCTTTGCAGACACATATTGTTGTTGTTGTTGTTATGTGCCATCGAGTCAGCCCCGACTCATAGCGACCCCTCCTTGGGTTTCTGAGGCAGTATCACTACAGAAGTAGATTGCCCAACCTTCCTCCAAGGAGTAGCTGGTGGGTTTGAACCACCAGCCTTCCAGTTAGCAGTCAGGTGCCTTAGGCACTATGCTACCAGAGCTCCCAGATTAACTTTAGTGAAAAACAAGGGAATATACAATAAAATGTAAGTCAGCCAAATGATCAACTCTGAATTTATGAACCAAAGAGTATGACAGTAAAGTGTTTCAATAGCATTTCATAAAATGATTTAAACTTTAACATCTTTAGTGACAGGTATCTAATATTCTAACTTAAAGTAAATTCTCAGAAAGAAAGTAAAATGTTTGCCTGCTAATCAAAAAGTCAGCAGTTTGAACCCAGCAGCCACTCCACAGGAGAAAATGTGGTAGCCTGCTTCTATAAAGATTTACAACCTTAGAAACCCTATGTTGCAGTCCTACTCTGTCACATAGAGTAGCTACAAGCTGGAATCCACTTGATGACAGTGGGCTTGGGTTTTGGATCTACTATCATTTAAGAAAAAGTTTACCAACCTCCACTTAGAGTTTCTTTCAATTTTGAAGTCTCATGATTTTATAATTTGAAAGAAAATAAATCAGAAATAAGCAAAGATCTAAATCCACTTACAAACTGAATCAATTGTGAGAGCAAATCTGGTATCTATTCAACATTAATTTTTTTCTGTTTGTTTTCTTTCCCTTAAAGCTGAGAATCAGAGTTCAATCAAAGCAACAGAGAGACCAGGTAAGGTAATTCTCTCCTCTCTGTGTATCTTCATGAACAAAATTCCAAGGAAGAGACAAAGTAGGTCAGTCAGTTTGATGGAAAACTTAAACTGGATGAAATATTACAAGGAAATCTGTACATGCCATCACAAATCTTTAGAAGACTTTAGGGTAAAATAGATTCAGACCTGACTGTCTGAGTACTCTGCTCACTGAGCCAAGTGCCCCAGCCCTAGTGAATACGTAAAGCCTGTGGACTTGCTCTTCTGCATAGAACCTGCTGTGCTTGGCCTGTTTCTGTTGTCAGAGTATCTTCTCCCAGAAATAGAGTCTGTCAGCTCTCATCTCTGTCCTTTCTAACAAAACCTGACACTCTCATCCATAAAATGATGTTATAAACAACCTGAAATGTTGACATCCCAAGACCTAGCTACATTTTCCCATCCCTTCATTCTAAATTGAATCCATTTTTGGATGATGGGCCAGCAGAATAGAAAAACAACATTAAGAAGGGGTAATGAATCTTCCTGTTGTTCTGAAATAAAAATATATAGGTAATTTTTATTTTTCTCCATCGTACCTGGAAGTTCTGGTGGAACAGTCATTAAGCACATGACTGTTAATCAAAAGATGGACAGTTTGAACCCACCCATAAGCTCCATTGGAGATTACAGCCATAAAGATAACAGCCTAGAAAATTTTATGGGGCAATTCTACTCTGTCACGTATGGTTTCTATGGGTTGAATTAAACTTAACAGCACCTAACAACAACAACAACAATATCTTAACTGGCAATTAAATAAATGAGAAATCTCAAAGGTGCTCAATGTTGGTCACATTCTGGTATAAGTAAATGAGAAAAAGTGGATATAAATCTAGAGAATCATGTTATTAAAAAATGAAAAACCAAGAAAACAATGTGTAACTCTAATACAAGTTTTACAGCAAGTGTCCAAAATAATCGTATTAATCTACCTTCTACATCTTATATTCAAGAAAAACAAAAGTTGACATAATTATGCTTTTTACTTTATCTTCTACAACATAATATATCTACATTATTAAGTTATTTTTATATTATTCATATTCTTTAGTTCACCTTATCACTATATTTTTTATTTTTATGTCCATCTGTGGTAGTTAACATTGTGTGTCAACTTGGCTTTGCCCATGGATTTGAGAGGCTGGGTAGCCAGATGTAGTTATTCTCCATAATGAGGTTGAAATCATCTCCATGTTGAAATCTCCTGTGAGCAGCTAAGTAGCTGCCTTCAGGTTATGGCCTGCTTCTAGTATACAAGGAGAAATTTTTAGAAAGGTCTCTAGCTTTTCCTGACATCTGGATCTTGCATTTGATGAGTCACCAGTGACCTGCCATATTGCCTGCTAATCTTGGGACTGTGCCATTTTACCTACCAACTTTGGGATCGTCAGCCTCAGCAGTTAGCAGCTGTCTGAGTTAGGAAATGCCTCTAGCTCCAGTAGGCCAGGAATAAGGGCCAGAGCCGAAGACCAAGGTTGAGGGACCTTCACCCAGCTCCTAGAGCAAGAACTCTGAATTTAGACTTCTAGCCTCCTAAACTGTAAGAGAGTAAATTTCTGTTTGTTAAGCCATCCTCTTGTGTTATGTCTGTTATAATAGCACTAGAGAACCAAGACACTATCTTCATAGCCTAGAAATGCACAAGATTTAGGAAAAACATAACAAAACCAGGCAAGGAGGATAGCTTTGTATTGGCTAACGATTTCTGATTATTTTATGATTTTTTTTCCTTTTTCTAAGAGAAATTCTTCCCTTTTGCTCTGTGGATTGATCATGAAACAAAGTTTAAAGACCGAGGAAGAATTGGGAAACTTCCAAAATTGTCAGCTCCTTTTAAAGAGATGGATCTTTAGTAGGAGATCCTTTTATTTTGTTTAAAGAGTTGTACTTACGAAATTGCCAATTATAATTGATTTTTAAATGGGATGAAAAGCCCAGTTAGACTTTTAATTTTGAGTTATACAAGTTTGTTATTCTAAAACAGTTGAAACAAACTGATTTGAATAATGGTTAAGAAAGAAATGAGACTGATTCTATAAGCCTCAACAAAAATTAGTCTAATTTCTTTACAATCAAACTTCAGATATAGGCTGTCACTAAAGATTAATCCAGATTCACTCTAAAAGAAGATGAATTAACAAATGTATTAGCAAGGTATTACTTAGTCATCTATTGACAACTCTAATGATGTGTCTAAAGTCTTCAGTCATATACATTTGTCATCAAAGATGTTCAAATATCAAATATGTGAAATATTCACTCTATAATTAAAGGTAAGTATGTTACTTAAAATAACTAAAATTTCTCTTTTAGGTAAAAGTTTGAGTAGAATTCTAGCACACAGACTTAGTAGTACTGCTTTCCTTCTGTAAAAATGAACTAATATGCATTTAGTCCTGGACTATATCATACATAGTCCTCACATTTGATATTTTCTTTCACATCATGGATCTATCTTTGATTTTTTTTTTTTTTTTGTAAAATTACATTTGTACCACTCTTTTAAAAAAAAGTCATTATGGATCTAGAAAAGGATGATTATTTCATGATTTCATGTAAGAACTCTTTGAAATTAAGAATAAATAATACATTTGTATATAAAATGTGAATTTAAGAAATTATAAATAGATATATGACATTTAACATCATAAAATAAAGATAAAAGAAAGTTTAGTATACTTAGGTGGAAATGATTGATCAAGGTCTATAGTCATGTCTACCTATTCTATTCAATAGAGCAAATGTTGTGTGCAGTTAACACATTATCTGTGTTTAATGATGCCTTCACATGAGAAATTCATGATTGTTCTTTAAAGAATTTGGGAAAGTCAAACTCCTACTGTAACATATCTGATAAGACTTCAAATTTCATGTGATCCTCTGCTAAGTATATAGAATGATGTAATCAAGCAACCATACCAACCAGATGAATTCAATGAATATTTATTCTTACACACACACACACACACACACAACCCATGTAACACTATCTAAGAGCTGTACCATCTGCCAATTTGTTATTCTGTGGTGGCTTGTGTATTGCTCTGATGCTGGAACCTATGACACTGTATTTAAAATACCAGTAGGGACAGGGTCACCCATGGAAGACAGGTTTCAACTGAGTTTCCAGAATAAAGCAGACTAGGAAGAAAAGCCTGATAATCTACTTCTGAAAATTATTCAATGAAAAAATTATGGATCACAACAGAATATTGTCTGATATAGTGCTGGAAAATGAGTCTCTTAGGTTGGAAGACGTTCACAATACTCAGTGGCCAAAAACATGGGCTAGAATATGTCAATCATCATGAAAATAGAGCCTGGTTATCAAGAAAGATTGTTGTTGTTAGGTGCTGGCCAGTGGGCTTTGACTCATAGTGATCCTATTTACAACAGAAAGAAATATTACCTGATTCTGCACCATTCTCACAACCATTGCTGTGTTTGTGCCCACTGTTCTAACCACTTTGTCAATCTATCTCATTAAGGATTTCTTCTTTTTCATTGACCCGCTGCTTTTCCAAGCATGATGTACTTTTCAGGACCTCTGGTAGCATAGAGCCTAAGGCACTTGACTGCTTACCAGAAGGCTGGCTGTTCAAACCCACCAGCCACTCCTCGGAAGGAAGGTTAGGCAATCCTACTTCTGTAGTGATACTGCCTCAGAAACCCAAGGAGGGGTGGCTATGAGTCGGGGCTGACTCGATGGCACATAACAACAACAACAGTCCCTCTTGATAACATGTCCAAAGTATATAATATGAAGTCTGCCATCCTCTTTCTAAAAAGCATTCCAGCAGTCCTTTGTCCAAGAGGACGTCTGGGAGTCCCAAGTATATTTATCCTTCGCCAACACTGTAATTCAAATGCATAGACTCTTCTTTGATCTTCTTTATTTTTTGTGCAGCTATCCCATATACACGAGATGATTGAATATAGCATGGCTTGACTCAGGCACACCTTAATCCTCAAAGTTAAATATTTGCTTTGTAACACTTTAGAGAGGTCTTTTGCAGCAAATTTGCCCAATGCACTACATTGTTTGATTTCTTGACTTCTGCTTCTATGGGCATTGATTGTGGATCTAAGTAAAAGGAAATCCTTCTTCACAGCTTCAATCTTTTCTCTGTTTATCATGATGTTGCTTATTGGTCCAGCTGCAACTGTGTGTCTTCTTTCCATTTTCTTCGAGGCATTCTGTGTTATTCAATATTTTGCCCACACAATCCATCAATATTTCAACTTGAGGTTTGAATGTTTTCTTCAGTTCTTTCAGTTTGAGAAATGGTGAGAGTGTTCTTTTTTTTTGGTTTTCTAACTCCAGATCTTTGCACATTTCATTATAATATTTTACTTTGTTTTCTTCAACTACCCTTTGAAATATTCTTTTCAGATCTTTCACTTTATCATTTATTCCATTTGCTTTTGTTTTAGAAGGATGGAAAAGTTTCCAGTACATTAATTAAATGAGAAAACAATGTACCTTCTCTCCCATTCAAGTGCATGAAGTTGAAGGAGTTTTACACATTACTGAAGTATACATTTTGCTATGAGCAAAATAAAGTTTCCAAGACATTCTCAGAATGAGAAAATAATGTACATATTATACTACTTGAATTTAGAGACCATCCCAAGAATCAATTTGATGCATTGAACACCAAGGACTGGTCATTAGAGTTCAATGTGCCAAATCTATTCTTGACATGGTATCTAAATTCATGCAGGATAATACTCAAGGTCATCCTTTGACTCTCATGAACTTGTTTTAGTTTTCCTTAGCTTCAACTTGAACTTTCATAGGAGCCATTAATGGTCTTTTCCACAGGCCCCTGATATTGTCCTCACAGGTGATATTCAGCTTCTCCTTCATCTTTTTCTATGAATGTAGTCAATTTAATTCCTGTGTATTCCATGCGGTGAGACCCACGTGTATAGTTACTGTTTACGTTGTTGAAAAAGGTATTTACAATGAATA